ACACGAAAAGGAGTAGATTCGCGACGTAGTAGAAAAATGGAGCGATGTGATATGAGTTCGAATTTTTTTTATGGTTTCTTGTGACGGCACGAAGAAGTCGTATGCCTGGTGGTAAGTAACATAACGCTACAGTGCCGTTCAGAGCTTCAAGTTGCAAAGATCTGAGGGGCACTGCCACTGCGCCCTTCATCCTGCGACATAAGTTGAAAAGTCCCATTTGCCAGTAATTTCACCAGGAATTTAATGATAATATAAAGTTTACTGGTTACGTAGGTGTTAATGAAACACCTACATAACCGTGGCCCAACGGTTTGCACTGTGGCGCTGGATGCAACGATCTCGGGTTCGTTTGCCGGTTGTACCAATTCGGGAAATTAACTTTTCTAAATTCAGTTTGGGTGTTCTGGGTTTCATCATCACATGAAATTTTTTTTTGTTTAGTTTGTAAATTTCAAATTCAATTTGACATTGACGTGATTTTTTTATTTGAAATCTTTTTCTTCCTTGTAAATCTAGGAAAGTATATATGCCATCAAAAATCCTAAACCCAAGTGGCAACAAATGTTCATTAGGGCCGCGGCGGTCCGTGTCCGGTCATGTTTTATGGCAAAATTAGGTGTGTCGTGCCGGTCATTTTCATCCACTCCGGCGTTGAACGTGTTAATATAGTGCGAAACAAAATTTTGCAGTTCTATATTGTGTTGCAAATTATTGGCTTTTGTTAAATACGTCAATTACATTACTGCTTTGTTAGACAAATTAGGACAATGGTGGCTCATCCATCCATTTTAAATATATTGACGAACAATTTGCTTTGTGTACTAGGATATCATAACAATGGTAAAGATTTTGAGGAGTAAGGGTGCTGGTGAAATTACAGGCACATGGGACTTGTCAACTTACGTCTCGTGGGGACGGTCTCTGTGGCAGTGCCCCTAAGATCTTTGCGATTTAAAGCTCTTAGTGACTCTGCAACTGTTATGAACAGGCGTGTAGCTTACCATCAGGCGAATGACTAATTCGTCCCGTCGCTTGATGTCATAAAAAAATAACGATCGACAGAATGATTTCCAGTTTACAGACCATAAAAAAAATGTAAAAAGAGTATTTAATTTTTTGTAGTTGAATTTTTCACGCTATAAAATGTCCGCCGTTTAGTTATTATAAAAATGTGAATTGCCAAAGTGTTCATGTTTCCTTTTATTAAAAACATGCTCTGCACCATTGACATATAACTTAATTTTACTCGACACATAATTTACATACAAATTTTACAAAACAAAATGTTAATATTAATTTACATTTTATTTATTCGTAGCAGTAGAGCTCCTTGTGAAAGAGTTTATCCAGGGAAGTACTGCCACTTTACCTATTTCTGACGCCAAGCAGTAATGCCAACATTACTGTGTTCCTGGTTTGAAGGATAACCGCTCACGCGATACATGCAGCCGTAGACGCATACTACACCTAGAGGTGCCGGTGATGATTTTATACCGATTTATCGGATATCGAAGTTATAACAGGTAAAAGAACTAATTTTAATTGCTATTTCGGTAACTACTTTAGCAAACCATAAAGGTTTTAATGCCTGGGTCTGTCATTTAAAAAAATAAACAACTTGAAAAATACGTCACGACAATCGTGTGCGTTATTGTTTGGGCTGGTGATTTCGGTGTTTATTTATTGAAAACATACCGTAAGTAGCGTTTTTTAAGTTTACCCTGAATATAATTGTTTATAAACTATACTTTAAGGAGTAATTTCATGGTAAACGTTAGAACTACTCAAACGGAATATTATCATATTTATCCAAGTACACCAAAAATTTCATTAGTGCTTTTTAAGTGCAGGATTTGCGGTGTATTACTGCATTTTATTTGAGATGTTTTTGTTGGTAATACGGAGGGTATTTATTTAGCAATGCAGAATAATATTTTTTGTTTATAAAAACTTGTATTTAAACTGAATACTTTTCTAATTTGCGAAACCAAATAGCCGCCATTTTGCGGTAGGAGGAGCGCATCGCGTGAGCGGATAAAGTTGCTGGTGAAATACAGGCACATGGGACTTGTCACCTTATGTCTCAGGGTGTCCGGCGCAGTGGCAGTGCGCTTCAGATATTTACGATTTAAATAGTTAAGTGGCACTGTAACTGTTGTGGACAGGCGTGTAGCTTACCATCACGCGCATGACTTGTTCGTCCCGTCACTTGATGTTATAAAAAAAAATGTAAAACTAGTATCTCTCGTGCGTTTTTGCCGTGAAAAATAAAACACACTTTATTCATGAGAATTTTTGACTCGTTTGGCGGATTATTTACGGAATCAATCACAATATGAATAAATTCTAACTATAACTAATAAGCCCTGGTATAAGGCTACCAATTGAATAACCGGTTCGAATCCGGTGTCGTACGGAGTTTTTCAGAAATTTACCATGAGTTTTTAACAACCCTCGGAAAATGTGTATAGTCTCCATCCCGCATTGGCCCAGCAGCGTGACGGACTATGACCTATACCCTCGCCTGAGAGGAGACCCGCCCTCAGAAGTGGGATGTATAAATAGGTCGATGATAATAACTAATAAATTATACTAACTACTAATTAACTACAACTAAGAAACCATAATCAGGTTATTAATAATACTTGGTAATGCGACTATTACTTAACTTACTAAAGTAACAATTATGTAATGGGAGAAAATATTTTTTTAACTTTTTATATCATCAGAGTTAAAATGATTGACCATTTTAACATATTTCTTTGACTAATTGTTAAGAGGGAGCAGAGGAAAAATCCCTAATCTTCGATTTGATTTTAGAGGGGTATATCCACTTTAAAGTTAAAAATAAAATATTGTATGAGTAACTACGCGATATATTCAAGCATAGACATTAATCAGAAACATAAAACAATAAAGTTTCCTCGATAGATAAAAACCACGAAATGACCTCTAATTTTCACATTTTTTCGATTCATCCTCGAAATGCTACAGGTTATTAGGACAAAAATTAGATAATTAATTATATTTATGCATGATCGACAACTGTCACTACTGATTTTTTTAAATCCCTTAAAACGAATTTGGTACTTTTAATGCGCAAAATTCAACATCTTCTGTCGCATGTCACGCGAACTTCAGGCATATATTTGTTTCACAAATTTGGGCGGAGCCAACGTCAAAACTTTTTTGGCATACCCCCTCTTAATGCAAATATATTTAAAATGTGGTTATTCAACAACAGCATATATTCATTTCATTGACTAGATCCGTAGAAGAACGAAAGTCACCGACATAGCCCAAAGGATTAGCAAGTTGAAGGGCCTGTGGGCAGGGCACATAGGTCGTAGAAGTGACAGCCGTTGGGGCAGAAAGGTTCTCGAATGGAGACCATGAACCGGAAGACGTTCAGTGGGACGGCCCCCTACTAGATGGAATCCGTCCATCTACATGGTAAGGGCGGCGGATAACCGATGGATGCACGTTGCGTCCGACCGCTTAGGCTGGCAATCTTTGGGGGAGGCCTATGTTCAGCTGTGGACGTCTTCTGGCTGATAATATGATGATGATGATGGAGATATTACCTTCAACAACGAGTCGATACTCAGCTCGAATTACAAATTTTCCCGTGCTAATACGGTCAATTTGCTTAGGTCGGGTGGCAGGGACACTGGCTTTACTTTAGAATTTATCTTTTTATAAACGAAATTAACGCCATTTGAAAAATGCTATCGCGTAGTATAACGTATTCTATTTAGTACAATTGATATAAAAAAGTCATTAGTATATGTAAAGTACCTATTGAATACGGCGGTTTATACATTGACTTATAAATAAGTCAATGGGTTTATACCATTGACTTACAATTATATGGACGTCGGGTCCGCGCTAAAAAGTGTCCGCACTTGTAAGGCGCTAAAATCGTATACAGAGCGCGACACTCCGCTTTAGTCTTCATTTGTTCTACTGACAGCGCGATACTGCGATGACATTACAATTTAAATTTCGAATAGGTTGACTTGGGACATTTTTTTCGTGGTTTTTGTATTAGACCTAGTTTATACGCAAAATTTCGTGGAAATAATATATAGTAAAATTGAGTATATACACTAATCAGTGTATATAGCACTGATTAGTGTATATACTATAATTATATTTCTTCCAAAGTGATTGATTAAATACTTTCACTGTTATGCGGAATAAACCAAAGCCGTTTGAGATTGTGTAGGCTCTTAATACTTTTGTTAGTATATCTTTTTTTTCTTTTTATATTAGAGGGTTCATTCTTAATAGAATATGCCGCTCCCACAGGAACATAGCAATAATCAAACACATTACATAGAAATCAATACATAATGTCTAATAATGATCTATTTTTATACACTTTTGTACCTTGCGGTACAGTGCCCTGGAGACTTTGAATGTAGGGTTGGCCAGTATGCTGTTACACATATCCACACTTAGTATTGGCAGGTTGATTTTTTCTTAGTGTATCTTACAGATGGTACACATAATTTAGACTTACCTACTCAGACGGCTCAGCAACCTGAAGTGGGTTTTGGTTTCCGATACGAATTGGCGCTGGCATACCCTATCTTATGCAATCTCCTCCCAGTTCACGGCATGCAAGGGCGCGGAGAGCTTTCCCCACTTCATCCCTCCATCAGTATTGGTGCCGACCAACCAATTGGTTGTCCCATGTACGACAGATAGTTAGATTAGATATAGTTAACTAAGAAATAGTTATCTTTGCCTTCCATTATGCAATCTTGTTTTGAAATCTTTCCCAAACAATCCCAAGAACTGAAGTCGTAGGGCTAGAGCTAACACACACTCACACGTACACGCACGCGCACGGGCACGCGCACACGTACACGCACACGCACACGTACAAACACACACACACATACACACACTTACACTTACTGACTTACCGCCTTTTTTTGCCCTCGGCCCCTCTCCCTATCACGCTTATTTTAACAGTATAAACTTTGTTCCAGCGTCAAGGCTGCATCCACGGCGAAGAGCTCCCCTACATCTTCGGCGCCCCCCTTGTAGGCGGCCTGGCCCACTTTCCCCGCAACTACACGAAGGCCGAGGTTGGTCTGTCAGAGTCCGTCATGTTGTATTGGGGCAACTTCGCTAAAACTGGGTAATTGTATTTGTATTGTTTCTGACCAATAACTTTGACAATAATTATTGTATTTTCTTTTATGGTTTTAATGGTTGACAGAGTTAGTTAGATATAGCTTAGTAATAGTTAATTTTGTTTTTTTTTAATCGAAACAAGCTTATTGTGTATATGTAGAGCAGGGTGATTTGATCATGATAATTTAGCGTCATCTTAAGCACGGTTCAGAGTATTTGTAACGCAACACGAACATCTATGGACGGTATGCGCGCACACTGCACGCGAAATGCGCGTAGGAAGCGCGCATTGTGATCGCAACGTGCGTTCGCAGCGCGCGTTATCAATCATCAAATGTCGACTTTCTTTAAGTGCGCTTCGGACGTCTATTCGCAACTGAACTGCGGGCCATGAACAACAATTACTAAATGTTGTGCGCGTGAAAGACATCCGGGAACGGATGTTCATAGTTCGAAGCGCGCAGCGTACGTGCGTACTTAACGTCCATAGAAGTTCGCGTTGCGTTACAAATAATCTGTTCACTGCTTCACGCGAACGCGTATGCCTTTGATCCTAAATAAGGTGCAATGAATATTAATGTGGAAAAAATAGATGTCACTTGTATGAGGGGCAGGACAAGTAATTTTAATTATCCGTATAGCGCCATATTTATTTCGCATTTTTTTATTTTTTTCTTGCTTAATTTAATTAATTGCTTAATTTCTTTACATTCTTCGTCTCCCGCGCCTCGAGCTCCAAGATGGCGAAACCTACAGGGTCACGTCACACGCGTCGTGCAGTTTTTTTTTGTATACTAGGATAATTTTAATTATCTTCTATGTTAAATTTAATTGCTGACCTGTATAACTTAAGAATATAGTTTATTTCCTCGCATTAACACATATACTGAGTGGCAATAACAGTAAACAAATATCTTTTGTTCAGAAATCCAAACGAAGCCCAAGAGTCAGACCCGATAAGGGCTGGAAGACAGGAAAGAGTTCGGATGAAGAACATCGAATGGACTGCTTACGAAGCCGTCCACAAAAAATACTTGAACATCGATATCAAGTCTAAGCTCAAAAACCATTATAGAGCTCACAGGTAAGATGACATAGTTGTATAATTCAAATGTGTATTTGAATTTGAAATTAAATTGCCGGAGAACAATCGGTCGACAAATAAATAGCCATAGTATTTATTTTTACTCCTATTTTCTTGGCTGATTCAAGTAGAACAATTGTTATAGAACCATAAAATTGATAGTTGTTGATGTTTTACAACGTTGTATATATTTTCAGTTAATTTTAAAATCTGTTGTAAACATTGGCAAAGTTCATAATATTAATATTAACATTAATATTCACAGACTATCATTCTGGCTCAACCTAGTACCGGATCTCCATCGTCCTGGTGGCGAAGATGTCCCGCCATCACATCATCAACTTTACAATGAGGAGGCGTCACCTCAACCAACTATCAAAACATTTAGCCCGCCTTTCAAGAAGACAACCGACATTGTCATTACGGACACAGGATTGGCTACTAAAGTTCCTATTGTAAGTGTCATAAATATTACGTCACCATTGAACTACAATATCATTGGATTTAACGCACCAACTCCAAGTACAGTAACGGAAGTACACAAACCTGATCACACTACAGCTAATCCTCCTGAAGATGGATTTGCTGCATATTCCACAGCTCTCAGTGTAACAATAGCTATAGGTTGTTCGTTACTAATATTGAACGTCTTAATATTCGCTGGTGTATATTACCAGAGAGATAAAACGAGAATGAATGGTCCAGATGGACCGAATGGCTCGCATTTAAAGAAGCGAGTTGAAAACGGACAGATGCCAAATAATATTTGTGGAGATTTAGAAGGAGCGTTGACTTATCAAACGAGTTTGAAAAACGATCCAGCAACTATTCTAAGTCATCATCATACTCATGCACATCATCAGCTGCCTCCTCCAGAATTTGCTGATTTGCCTAGTAATAACGTTGCTGGTATGGCGACATTGCCCAGAGCACCACCTCCTCCTAAATTAGGAAAGAGTAACATAAACACTCTTGCAAGTGGACAATTGCAAGAAAATCAGCCGTTGCTATCGGCGCATCCAATGCAAATAATGAACACAAGTACATTGACGAAGAAAAATACTCAACTGAACGCGAAGTCGAACGTGACAATGGAGGAGTTGAGAGTGTGACGTCAGAGGGCCTGACTGCAACGAACCGGCAGTTGCAGTGACGTGGTTCACCACGACGAGATCGTGTGACTTGAGCCGGACCTTCTCAAGTGCGTCACAGATTACATATAAACTTTCAAAGGCAACAAAGACTTGGAATCTGTGAACACTTGGTATTAGAAGGCTTAAAACTATGTTAAAGTGATTATATAGACAGTGAATATTCATATCGGTTTAATAGAAACAGTGAGAGAATTGAAGCGTTTAAAACTTACGATTTAATAGTGAACTATATTAAAATTATTGATGTATATGATTGTAAATATATAGTTGTAACTGTAAATAGGTCAGCAGCTCAGCCGCATATCCATCCTAACAATTATTATTATTATACTAATATTAATTAATAAACTAAATAACGTGATGACTTGGAATTTCAGTCTACTACCAAATTTAATAACGTTAACAGTAACTGAAATGGGTATAGGATTACTTTGGTAGAAGACTGGAATCTAATGGGCATGGTCGAATTTGAGATTCCCCCTGAATTTAAGAAAGTAGGGACTTACTATAAATACCAAGTTTTGTCTCATTGTCGCTAATAAAAGCAATAATTTTATTCGTATTATTTTTAAGCGTCATTTTTAAAATGGTGCGAGGTTATTTCAAGTCTTGAAAGCTCGTTGCGTACCAGGGCGGAGAGAAAAAGGATTGCCTTTCAACAACCTGCAGTGTAGTTGTAACGAAACACAGTGCGGTTTTCTGAATTTCAAGCTTTGTAGTCGTTCGAGTTTTATGAGTCAGGCTATTATAAATAAAATTTTTATTTTACATGCAGTACAACTGTTGAACTATTTCGATCAGATAGGGAAAAAGACAAAATCGTGTCGTATCAAGGAACTCGAAATTAGGGCGCTTATCAGAGATGGTTGGCGACTACTTCACCGTCAAGAGCCTAGATTTTTAAGTAGAAGACACTAACAAAGGTTTCAAGAGGATCTATGACTAAGCTACAGAGGATTATGAGCGCATTGCCATCGCTGATATTCAACGATGCCAGTAATGGTTTAGGTTATATCTAAAATTATTACAAAAATACCATAAAAGTAGTTGGCAAAGGACAGTTTCACGTTTCCAAGACAAGATTTAATAATCTAATTTAATGTAAATATCACTGCGTAACCGTAACTGAATATTAACCTTATAACTAACCAGCAAAGGTTAATTTTTATTAGCCAGCTGATGAGCGGTAAAATTATAATGTCAAATAATGTATTCGAATGAAATACGATTTTTTATGGAGGCAAACTTATTTCGTAGGTAAGCAAATTACACTTCAAATAGTGAAATGATTCAAGTCTTCCGCTCATTCGTAAGGCAGATTCCGATGAGGAGAATGATCAAGAAACTCTAGGGGTTACTCTTTGTAAATATACATTTGAATACATTTATAATATACAATATTTGTTTCAAACATCTTAGATCACGGATGCCTGCAAGAACTAAACGGGTTACCACGGATTATTTTGAATATCATCCGGAAAGTTATTATAGAAGCGCATACATTGCCCTTAAATATATTTGTCCGTTTGTGATGACGATTGTCAAGAATAGCTAATTTATTTTATTCCTCGTATTTAATGTTCTGTTAGTCACTATTTTTCATAAAAATATTATTATTCTTCTTAACAAAAATTACGTTTTCATAAATGTTCTGTGGCGCTACCCTCTCAGAGATACCCACAAACGAGCAGACGAGCCACTGGAGGTGGTAATGGACATGTGCGACACCAAAGAAGCTGCGCTGCCAGCCTTAGAGAACCGCATGGTTAACAATTCAATCGTTTACATTTGTGAAAATCACAAAAGCTCCGAAGCTTGTGCTTCAGAAATCAATACTGCATTATATGTTGTTCAAATATAAAGCACCCACCGCCCCGCTATGGTAAATGACGAGCCTTAATTTTGATGTTAGCTATTATGGAATTTTTAGGTGCGTCAGAATCGTTGAAAAAGTCTTATTTGGCATTTTAATTAAATTTACATTAATAAACCTGCCCACTGCCAAAATAGGTAATAATTTAATAACGAACACTAAAGTAAGAATAATATTTTTCGGTCGCTTATCTAATTAACGAGTTTCTACATTCCTCTCGTTTGAAATTTAAAAATGTAACAAAAGTGTAAAGCAGATTTTCCTTGAGAAATTCTGTACAGAAATTCAACATTAATAATTTGTTATAACCATCTCTTTTTCATATAAAAAGAGCATAAATGGGATAGATAAAATAAAGACGATTTCGATGGAGATTTTTGCTTTATTTATGCTGTGGAACATAAAAATGTGACACCGAATCATGAACAAAAAAGGCGGTTTGGAAACGATCAATGATGATAATCTGGAATACGTTTTAGCATAGCTTCATAAATGTTGATGTGTCCATAAATCCTATAGAATTTCGTCTTTATTTCAAACATAGACGGACCAATAGCGTATGTACATAATGTAAATAAATTAGTAAACGGTATAACAGGTTGTAAAGACCCGAACACGGTTTTAATTCAAACCTCGACTGAAGTTAATGTAATTGTTTGATTTCCTATAGCAATAAACTTTGTTGAATGTTTTGGTAAAATTGTTTAGTTTAATACGTTTGACCCTTTCGATGGGTGTTTTGGGATTGTGTAAACAAAAACTTGTGGGAACGAAGTTGTTGGGATACATGTATTGGATCACAGTTGTATCTTCAGCTTGTGAGTTTGAGGCTCTATTAGTGTGTTTCGTGATATTATCTAATCGCCTGACAACGGCAATTTGCAGCCAAAGTCGAACGAAGCGGCTAGGTGCGTCGTCTTCGGCGAAGCAGAGGCGAAGTAGTCTCCCGAAGGCGGCGGACAACCCGATGTAAATACGCCATCATAGTCAGCTAAGTAAAAGAACACAAACACACCATCTGTCAGTCTACATCTGTAAGTAAGGCGCCGTTTAAACGTGTGTCTTGTGTCGGATACAAGCAATCGGCAAATAGAAGCGAATTCTGTTTTTATACAATTAATATGAAATTGACACAGTCGCCGATTGCGGCAACTGCAATTGTATGAAGATAGAATATTCGCTTGTAATTGCCGGTTGCTTGTATCCAACACAAGACATTTGTGTGGCGCCTTACTCAGTCAGTTAGCCAGTCACATGACATAGCTAGCATCCGATTAGCTAAGAAATTCATTTAAAAAACCTATTGGAATAGACGACATTAATCAGTAGTTTAACTACGTAGCTTAAGTAAATTTCATCATTTTTAACAAAGTCAAAATAAAGTAAAAAAAATAAAGAGACGAAAACATTTTCGTCGATCTTACGAAAGTTCAAATTTCACCTAAGGACCTTCCGTGGCTGCTATCACTTTACAAAAATAATATAAATAATACAAGAAGAACAATAAGAAACCGCTAAGCCTTTGGAAAACTCGTTTCTGTTTATGTATCCATAACACGAAATATTTAACGTAGTTTCTTGCAAGTTTAGGTAAGTTTCACAAGTTTTTGTACACAATAACTCTTCGTAATAGCTTTATTGTTCCGAACTCCTGGTTCATCCTTAAGATAATTTCGAATTGTTTCCTCAATGCACGAAGTTTTGTTATCCTGATAGCTCTGATAGGTATCTATAGGCAATATCGATACGGTCTGTAAGAGACTTCATTATAAAGTACTTAATGAACAGACTAAACGTTTTAATAAAATACAATTGAAAAAATCTTGATTGTTTTTTCCTTCGTCATCATCACCACTGTTACATTAATTTTGTTCGTTTATGTAACCAATTCATCGCCACCATGTTGTCGCTTTATTAGTATAAAATATTTACTTATATTTATGCGCTAAAAATGTTGTTAAAATTAATTTTACATTCAAATTCCAACTGAGATTGCGACACACTTCAAAAAACATACTTGCAGTTATAAAAAAGAAAAACGCTACAATTAAAGAAACCCTGCAAAGCTTTGACGCAACTTTGCAGACGAATTAAAATTTAAAGTCGGCTGAAAATTCATTCGGTATGAAACTTTATTCCGTGCTGTAAGAAAGTTAGTATAAATAATTTAGAGACCACTTGGGTGTTAACAATGTTCTGCTCTGACCTGTCCAACTTCCGGGGGCAAGTCACATTAATTTTGTTCTGTTCATTACAGGGCCAAGTTATGAGCGAATCGCTGTTCATAGGTACACATACATTTTTGTTTCAACCTCTCACGGTCCATGATTTCACAGATTAGCGGGTTTTACATAGACACTCTATTGCGCGTATAAAGACATTGGAAGGAAATCAAAAAGTTCAAATAGGTTCAAACAATCGTGCAAGAATTCGCGTGCAGGTTTTCCGCGCTCAATCCTGTACGCTCATGATGACGCGCGATGGAGTGATTGTATAAAGGGGGTTATTTACTCGCACGGCCGAAGATCACGTTTTATATAATAATTAATCTATTTCGGAATGATTATCCATAGCTACGCACAGACCCGACTCATTTTTCTCTATATATTACCACGGTCAAGCTTCTTAAACCCTAGTAGAAAGGTGATGAGTAAAATCATGGATCGTGGAAGGATATATTTAAAGCGCAGTGATGTGAGTTGTTCACAGTGTTGGCGCGTACTTTCTAGAGGAGCGCTCGTCAGGTATTGTGGCCCCTCATTCATACGGCATTGTACTGCACGTCTTATTGCTGTATAAATAAACAGTGGCGCATACATTAGGTATACACGTTTGTCGAATACGCAACGGACTTGTCAAGCAAAAAAAACTTTAACGTCTTCGGTTTGCAGTGGCATATAGTATTATCACTTTCACACGGCAATGTCAAACGTTTTTTATCGAATAGTCACCGAACAAGCGGCGTTTAGTTTTAAAGCATTCGTATTAATTTTTTGTAACCACGAATTCTCCAGAATTATAGTATCCAAAGTAATAGAATTTATTTTTTCATCGTTTCTCACATTTTCGTATAATTTTTCAAATGTGTTTATACGCACTGCTTCATGGTTCATTGGATGAATCCAATACCTTCTGTTTGGCGTCTTCCATGCCAATATAAAAGTGCAACAAAGCGTGGGTCCATTACAGACGAGTTCTCAGGGCGATTTCCGTGTGAATGCTGCGACTATCCGTCTTTTAAAGACATGAAAATATATTTTCGGGAGCTCATTTGGGAAATCACTTAGGTACATTAAAAATTTACGTTATTTGGGATAGGTAGGTAAAGTACATTATCAAAATTTAGATTTTCTTTGTCGGAATTTCCTTAAGTATTCCGAAAAATTTGTAAGTGCAACAACTCGTAGCAAAGTTCAAAGTAAGTATAG